TCAGTCAGCGTCTTTCTTCCAAGTCACTTCAAATTCAGAGCTTCCCTCCACCCTGCCTTGAACATACTGTGCAATCACTCCTTCAAATATTACAGAAGACATGCATGTAGTAGTGGCGAGTGGTAGTATTCTGACAGAGGGTATGGAATTGTTTTTTTTCCTAAGTTTTTGTTGCCATAATAAGAAAAAAAAAAGTTACAAATCCCTAGCCCAATAATGAAATTCTGAACACATTCCATGGTAAGTCTGTAACTGACAAGCTATCAGGATTCAGGTAGGTAGCCATGTTGGTCTGACGCAGTCAAAAAAAAATTGTCCAGTAACACATTAGAGACCAACTAAGTTTGTTCTGGGTATAAGCTTTCGTGTGCATTCTTCATATCCGAAGAAGTGTGCATGCACACGAAAGCTTATACCCACAACAAACTTAGTTGGTCTCTAAGGTGCTACTGGACAATTATTTAATTTATTTATTTATTTAGACAAGCTATCAAGTAATCAGTTTTATGGATGGGTTGAGTAGTAGTTGTTGCTTCAGGAAATTTAGTGCAGCTGAATCACCTGACATGTTCCATGCAGATACCCACTGAAGGGAAAACCCAACGATCTCTTAAAGTGATGTAGTAATGTTGTTCTGCAAGAGCCCTCTGAATTCACTATTAGTAAGTGCCTCCTCCTCCCAGGCTGTGGGTTTGTTTTTTCTTGATGCTGTTTTATTTCATATATGTCAAAAACAAGCAGGTATTTGAGGCTGCAATCCTATACATACTGAACTCAATGGGACTTACTTCTGAGTAGACAGGTATAAGGTTGCACTGTACATGAATACAGTGTTAGAAGCACATGTTTATTTGAAACTATCTTCTCTTTGCTTGGTTATTTTTTAGGGGAAGACTAGTAACTTAAAGACCTATATTTCTTTATGAACACTCTCAGTGCCTTCATAAACCATCTGTGTTTGTCAATGATACTCTGCAATAAATGCCCCCCTGGGAACAAATTCAATCATTATGTGTATGGTATTTTCTCTACTCTTGGCTCTACAAACGTAAGCCAGTGACTCCATTTTCCTTCCAAGTTCTGCTGGAGTTCAGTACCTGTGAAAATGAGATTTTTATATAATTTTTATATTGTATATCAGGAAAAGTTGGTTTATATGTAGTACATGAAATACAACTCAGGTTACTGAAATCAACAAACAATATATAGATAGCCCTTTTCCCAGTAGGAAAGCCTGCAGCAATATCATTTTACTTTGGCTATTTTTTTTTTGTAAAATGTAAATTTATACACACACACTATTTGAAATGGAATGCTTTTTTTGGATGTGAATTATTAAATGCTGACTGATTAAAAATGTTCACAGATCAATTGCTATATGCTTTTAAAAACCTAAAGCTATACCAGCCCATTGGACTATTGGAGAATCCCTTGTTACTTCTAAAAATCACCCAGTTTTGTCACAGCTAGAAAGAAAAGTAGCCCTAAAGCATATTGAGAAAAAGCAAAATTCAAAGTTATTCGATTCTGAACAATAAGAAGGAAGAAGAGGATGTGGTTGTGATGAACTCCTAGCTTAATCTCCCCCCCCAAAAAAATGAGTCAGAATTTTATAATGTTAACGAAGAGTCATTATGAAGGCAGATCTACCCTCTAAAACAGGGGTCAGCAAACTTTTTCAGCAGGAGGCTGAAAGGTCCCTCAGACCTTGTGGGGGGCCAGACTATATTTTTTGGGGGGAAATGAACAAATTCCTATGCCCCACAAATAACCCAGAGATGTATTTTAAATAAAAGGACACATTCTACTAATGTAAAAACACGTGATTCCCGGACCATCCGTGGGCCGGATTTAGAAGGCGATTGGCTGTATCCGGCCCCCGGGCCTTAGTTTGCCTACCCATGCTCTAAAATATGTTTCCAATTGGCCACAGGGACCACTGCAATGAGAGATGGCGCATATCTCACTATGGACAAAACTCCCCATCTCCAAAAAGGGTCCTGCTCTTACTGCTCTTGGATTCCCATAGAAATGTGAAGATTCACTCTCAGTCCCTTGGAACATCCAGTCAGGTGATGACCCAAGATGCTTTCTCTCAGAACCTCACTTCTCCAAGGATACTCAGGACACTTCTCAAGAGATAATTTGAACCTAGCTACGTTAGTTTTTTCTTTTTGATTTCATTTGCAAGCCTCCAGTAGTGGACAGCATTGTGTGGCAGTTACCTAACCTCCCAACAGCTAAGTCACAGTGGCTTACTCAGAGGGAGAGGGGAGAAGTGGCAGGAAGGTCAGGGCAGTGCTAACACATGGCAGGAGTGCCAGATGGACTCCACTATGCATTTGCCCCACACTGGTCTCCCCAAAGCTTTGTCCCTTCATCTCCCAGTAAGCAGCAGCGACTCAGGTGTTGGGAGGTCAGGTAAGCACCAGTACCCCAGCATGCCAATGAGTACCACAAGTACCTCTGGGTGATTTTTGCCTTCCTCCACCCTCCTCTTCTCAAACTAATATCTTTAAAAAAATACTTGGACATTTTGTTTCATGGGTTTAAAAAAGAATTTCTCATCAACATCATCCATGTGCTAAAACTTCATGGTTGTGTTCCAAGGATAGGTAACAAAGTTCTGTAAGATCTGGCATTTGGGGCTTTGGGGGAGTACATCCAAAGCATCTTCCTTCCCCTACCCCCAAGCTGGGCTGGAGGGAGGAGTTCTTGGCAGTAGGGCTTAGATTGAAGCCCATAAGCAGCTAGACCATTTGTTGTTGTTGTTTAGTCATTTAGACATGTCTGACTCTTCGTGACCCCATGGACCAGAGCACGCCAGGCACTCCTGTCTTCCACTGCCTCCCGCAGTTTGGTCAAAAGCTAGACCATTTACTGAACTTTTAAAGGTAGGTTTAGCCAGTGTTAGCAGCCTATTGTAATTCTTTTATACAAATAGGGTCTTTGTCAGTAGGGAAAGTTTCCTCACCCTAGATCTTTCACAGTGGTCTGTCATTCCCATTGTTATTAATTGATTTGTCACCATACAGCAAGACTACTTACATGAATACAGGAAGAAAATACAAAATGCATACAATTTTGTACCAATAGGTCCCTCCTATACACAAGCTCTCCCTTGACACACAACCCACCCATCATAATGACAGGGCTTTGGCTTGTAAAGACAAGCACCTTTGACATTTGTCATGTCTATAGTTTTATCTTTAATAAGCATTGACCCTTCTCTCACTGCTGAAGTTTTCTTCTGCTTTAAGGCTTGGGATACCCCAGAGATGTTCCTTTATAACTTTACAGAATTCTTTTAATATTGTGTAGACGTTTGTGCACATTGTGTAAATTTTGTTTTTTAAAAAACTGGGAGCATTCCCTATGCTTTCCTTAAGTTCTTCATTCTGCATCTTAAGCACATGCCAAAATTGTGTTTTCTCTTTGATTACCTTGGAGAGGTCTGGCCTGATCTTTCCAAGAAGTTTCTGTAAGGCAATATTGTAGGATCTTCGGCAGGGCTAAACTGTGTTAGAGTGGAAAGAAGGACTTTTGGTAGAATGCACTGCGGCTTTCGCCTTGACTTCATACGATACAGCAGTTGTTTTTCCCACACCCCTTCTGGCGCTTGCCCATTTCCAAATAGCCAGGGGCAGGGGGAAATGGCATATAAAATAAAATGAAACAATGTGCGAAAAAGAAAGCCGGAGTCTAAGAGTGGGAAAGAACTGTCATCGGCAGCTTACCAATAGCAGATTCAGAACGCTCCCTGGGAACAGCATTCCCCCCTCGCTTTCACACACACTACCATAACTGATTATTTGATTATTATTTTTCTGTCAGGGGGCATCTGCATGATCCATTGGAGAGGATTCAGCTCTGCTAGACTCCCTGAAGAAAAACCCACTTGCCCTCTCTTCCTAAAATTAATTAGCTGTCATGCTATAGCAATGTGATTAGAACTGATAGCCCTATAAAAAGGGAAGCAACCATCTCTGACTGTAACAAATAATCACCTGTACTTAAAATTAGTTTCTTTGGGACACTTGGCATCCATCATCACAGTGACACCTGGCTTAGCTGATGATTCACCATGCCTTTGGAGCTGGCAGTTCCTCCAGAGTCCATGTTCCAGAAATAGGGTTCCAGGTCATAGAAATGTTTTTTGGTATTTTCTAAGTAAGGGATGGGGAGCTTGTGGCCTTCCAGATGTTGCTGGAGTCTGGCTTCCATCAGCCCCAGCCAGCATGGCCAATGGTCAGGGGTGATGGGCGTTGTCCAACGACATCTGGAGAGCCAAAGCTTCCCCAGCACTGTTCTAAATCAAATAAATTAAGGCATTTCTAGTTACACAACTCCTTCCTCTCAGTAGCGCTAGAGAGACTGTTATCTTAATGGAAATCATATGGGATGGTGTTCAACTGAGTTTTACTCAGACCTATTGAAATTAATGGGCCTAACTTAGTCATGTTCATTAATTTTAGTGGGTCTGCATGGAGTGAAACTTAGTCGAATACCACCAACACTGAGATTCAATCAGAAAAGCAGGCAAGAAAGAATTGCTAGGCAAAAATATTTTGTGGCAACGGGTGAGCGGACATTCATCTAATCAATAGATGGTGCATGTTTTGCTTTCCAATTTTCTTCTCTAAGCCCCAGCCGATATCACAATCTGCATACCCAGATACTGCCACCTTACATTTCATCACACACATTTAGTTGTCAGCAAAAGGAATTTCAAACAAAGGTGATTCAAACGATCTAGTTTGTGCTGATAACCTTAGCAAAGGCCTCTAGAGCTGCCCTCTAGTAAGACTGAAAACACATGGAAATGATCAACTGGTGGGCCATTTCAAAACATAAACTGGAACAAAACAACTGTATAGTTCCAAATTAGGAACAGAGAAAGCTGCCTTTTACTGAGTCAGACCATTGGCCCATCCCGCTCAGTATTGTGTACTGGCAGCTGCTCTCCAGAATTTCAGAAAAAGGTCTCCCTCAGTCCTCCCTGGAGATGCCACAGATTGAACCTAGAACCTTCTGCATGCAAAGCAGATGACCTACCACTGAGCTATGACCCTTCTCCAAATTCCTTCCACCTTTATTCTGCAGGATAAAAACAATCATATGTGAAAGGCATGTCTTTCTTTGTTTTTGGTAATACATATCTTCAGGAGTAGCTGCTTGCCCCTACTATTGAGGGGCCAGCATCTCATGCCATACACCACGTTGCGCAATGCACTGACACAGTGTGCACCATGTCACACGATGCACTGATGTAGCACATGCCATGTTGCCGCTCAATATTGCCCCCTCCTAAAGATATGCCCCTACTTATATTAAATCTTTTGTCAGGTGGCTTAAAACACATTGCCCCATTCCTGGTCCTCTATGGATATAGTGAACAATGGTTTCTGTCTTCTGCCTAGGTCTTCTTAAGATTTGGGGCTTTTAACGTGTCTTTCTTTAATGTATGTTTCTCTAAGCTATACACTGAATTATGTTTCATTTGATGAACTGGGGATAAATTCAGTTTGGCATGAATTATAATGTGGACTTACCTAATTTGCACATCCTGAAACAATACGCAGACCACAGCACAGACATCCTTCAAAATTCCTTCAGAATTCTGCAATGAGGCTAACCAACAAAAAATTTGTTAATTTTTTTTGTACATGAAGAGAAAGTATTTAATAAAAAGCAGATATTAGGAAATCACAAATAAAAATGCATTATATTAGGGGGAATCATTTTGGGGGAGAAATGTATATATCAGTCACAATTCCATAGAAAAATGTGGGTATTAGGAGAAATTTTCACTAAAATGCTGACAAATTCTCCTGAGGACTTAAAAAACAAACAAATCACAAGCTGATGTGGAAATGTGGTGTACTGATCTTAAGACTGGAAAAATGGGAAATGGAGAAAAACTGAAATTGGGAGATTTGTCTATCACCCAGTTGAAACCTGCATGCTTCCTGAGTGGAAGAGTAGTTTTTGATGCAACTATGCAAGGCAAGGATAAAGACCATGAATCTGTGTAACCCTGCTGCTTGGATTCATCCTCTGCCCACCCAAATCTAAATATTGGTTGGCCCTGCATCAAGTAAAACACAATATTTGCCATGATAGGCAATTCTGCATTATGTGCAGAATCTGCATTATGTACATGATTCTGCACTATGTGCTGACCATGCTGTTATTCAGCTCTCCTGCTAACTGATACTATAACTAAAAGTTTGTTCCATCAAAAAGCAGACTCGTTTTAGAATGAGTTGTGTGTGTATGTACTGGGTTATACTATAACATTTTGGAGTACATGTTGACAGCTTGCAGATAGTTTTTTGTGCATATGAAAAAAGGGGATAAACAAACGTAATTCTGAAAAGCATTTGTTTTTGCCAGTATCAGTCAACCAGGGAAGAAACACAAAAGGACTAGAGCCAGGACATATTGTACCAAGCTCATGCTGGATAGTCCCAGTCAATACATTTAATCAGCCCCTTTGATTTAGTGAACCACTCTTTATTTGAGTCTCATTGGGGAACTGGAGATGATCCTACAACAATGACTATTAGGCTTTAAGGCTGAGAAACACGTCCTGCAATCAAGTACATAAAAGGAGATGTCTCTGCAACTGTTGCCTTTTTGTTAAGTGGTTGAACACTGCAAAATGCAGGTCAAGAAGCAAGGGTGTATCATACCACAACTGGGAATTTGGATTCATGCTGAACTGTGGTTCAGTATCATATAAGTTTTACCAAATGCCTAGGCTTACAACTGAACATGGCATTTAAAGCATCTTGACTTTGGCTTGGTTTGTAGTGACGCATTAGCCCTGTTTGAGTGTTATTCCTTCAAACAACACTGTGAGAAGGGGGGAGCCAAGCTCACTGTCCCCTCTGCTATCGTGTCCATGTTGCCTGCCATCCTCTGCTGTCCACATGTTCTACGCAGGATCTGAAGACGAGATGCTGTTCATAAGCTCTCCCATGGTGTAGAACCATAGTCACATGTGCTCTCGTTACATCTCAGTTTAATTTGTTTAAAAATATGTATAACCCACCCATTAACAATACAGATACCAGGTATGTTGTGTGGGGGAGGTGTAAACCACACACACAAAAATGCAACCAACCAAATTTAAAACAAAAACAATACCTACTAAAATATGGGCTGCCAATTTAGTTTCCAAGCCCAGTTCAAAGTCCTAAATGGCTAAGAACTTGTTTACCTGAAGGGCAACCTTCAGTAATATAAACCTGATCATGGATGAAGATCTCCAGGATGGAACCTCCACTGTGCCCTATCAGAATCGGAGACATATTTGGTGAGAATACAGGAGAAAGCCTTCTCAGTAGTTGTGTACAGGGCTTGGGACTCTCTGTCCAGGGAGGCCTCCTTTTTCTTAGTCCAGCAAGTTCCTGACATGTTGAAGTGATTTCTCTGCTGTCCAGAGGTATTGTGTTATTGCTGCGTTTCTCCTGGACTGTGTTTTTGTTTTTTTAGCTAGCTGATGTTTATTGTTACTGCCTCTCTGGTTAAATTGTTATATGTATTTATCACTGTCAGTCTCCTCTTAATTCTACATTGTTAGCTGCTTTGGTTTCCCTTCTGAAGGAATTTATTTTCTACACAGTTTGAACTAGTGGTACACATGTTACTGGAAAAAAGATTGTGGAATGGATCCCAGGACTAGCAGTGGATGCTGACAATTTAACCTTCCGGCAGGGAAATCCCTGGCCTGCAGGCTGGATGCAGACCACAGATGAATTTTACCCAGCCCTCTGGGTCCCCTCCTGGCCACCAGCTGTTCAGCAGGGAGAGGAAAGGGTTTTGATGTGCAAAGTGTCAAGTTGCAGCTCCTTCTTCTTCAAGACCTGCTGCAAGAAGGTCAAAACAGAGAGGAAAGTGCAAAAAATTGTCTCCATGCTTTTTGCAATTGCATGCATGCAGTTTTGGGGGGGTGCAATTGCATTTTGTAGTTTGAGGCTTTAAAAGCTGTAAGGCAGGGCAAGCAGTTCAGATGCGCATTAGCCTTGTTGGCATTCATCTGCTGGGATTATTTTTTCCTTTTGCACAATCAGGACAGATAAAATGTATCAGACAGCTTTTTTTAACCTATTAAAATGTGTTAGGAAAATGAAAGATGGCACTTGAGTGTAATTACTAAGAATTAAATACATGCTCTGTTTCTGTAGGAAATAGCTTTTCTCTTTGTGCATGCAATTGTATGTGAGTTAAGAGTGCAGGTCTGCTCCCACCCACTGCTGGAATGTGGCTCCCAGCTGCTTTCAAACAAGTTAACGTGGTTCTTGGCCTGCAAAATTTCATTGCCCCTGTTCTAAAGAATACTGGCAAAGCTGCTACCATGATGTGAATGAGAAGACCCATCAAGATTTAATTGTTTACTTGTACTATTTGTATTTCAGGTGTTTTGTTTTTTTTTTAATGTGCCAAGGTGTGCTTTCTTAAGAATTTAGTGTAAAGAGTAAACACGTGTCAGGGGTTCAGGAGCAGAGGCACAGGAAAGGGAGGAAATAGAGAGCGAGGGGGAGGAGTCCGAAGGAAATGTTAGCGATGACAGCGGTCCGAGGTCTCTGAGTCTTTCCAGCGAATCGGAAGATTCACAGAAAGGGGCTCCCTTGGTCAGAGCAAGGGGGTGCCGAGGGGACACCCCAGGAAGAAGGGGCCAGAGGGGACTCAGAGAGCAGCAGTTGGAAATCAGGACCAGCGTCCACACCAGAGTGCAGTAGGGGAGGAGTCCCAGGCATCGGGATCAGGCGGCGCACTGCCAGTGGGAGGACATGAGTCAGGATTGGCCACGCCTCCATCGGGGAGCGAGGAAACGGTCGAGAGGAAGGTTGAAGGCTGGGCGCGCGCGCCAAGTTCAAATGTACAGGAGGGCGGCGCAGTTGGCAGCCCGGATAGGGAGCCAGGTCCCACAGCCCGCCGAACAGAGGGGGAGGAGTCAGGAGGGTCAGCGTCAGAAGAATCCAGGAAGGAAGGGACCCCGGGGGGTAGCAGGACCCAGAGGAGAAAGGAGAGACGTAAGAGGTGGAGTAAGGCTAGAATCTTAAACTGGTGTACAGGGGGCGGAGACTCAGATGGAGCTTCGCCGATCTAACCCCTAGACGTAGAGCTGGGGCGCTCCGGCTTGAAAATGGAAACTGTACTTCAATAAAGACTTTTGCACATTACTGCCGGCTAGCGTTGGTCCTCTGTGAGCTGGGACCTGGAGCCAGCTCTGACAACACGTTTTAAATTAATTGTGGAAATGAATTTCCCCGTCAAAAATGGCACAATACTATTCATCGTCGAATAATTGGTTCCTTGGGCAGATACTCCTAATAAAGGCTTTCAGAAACCATTGCACTAAACCTCAAGGAGACAAAACATTTCGCATTTTAAAACCCTGTTGGCACTAAATAAATATCGTACTAATGGCGTGGTGGGTCTTTTTGTTTATTTGAAAATATTCTCAGTTATTCTAACACAGTTCTAGAAGGGATTATATGGGAAGGGGCCAGAAAAGAAGTGGAGGAGAAATGCCGCAAGACAAAGGAAGCAGTAAACAAGAACAAGGGAGAGAAAGTTTTGCATGCGGCAGATATTAAATGCATAGTCATCTGAGCTGCTAGGAATGAAAATGAGATCTGACAGCTTTCAATGGCAGATTGATTAGGAAACCCTTGGAACCTACTCAAGGTCTATGAATGGCATGGGAAATCATGTTGCAAGGGAAAGAACCTCACACTGTGTTATGGAGGAATACAGCGGGGATAATAACAGGCTCAGGGGAGATTGGAGAGCTGCCATTGATACGACATTGCAAGGAAGCAAAGCCGCAAAGCACTGTGTGTGGTGGTGCTAGCGGATACCTGAACAATTCCTGATGTGCTGTGAATGAAAAGTCCCTTCTGCAGCTTGACTTCCAAGGTTTATTTATACCTTTATTGATTATGTTTTTACCCCGAGGTTCCATGCCTCTTAAATAAGCCTTAAGAAGTTTTTTCCTCTACTTAAATCTTCCAGTGCATTGCCCATAGTGATAGAAAATCAACAACTGATTTGTGGATTTATAAG